AAATTCTCTATCAGAACTAAGCACTTTGTGAAGTTTTGGTGAAAGGCTAGTGATGAGTAGATAAGTCTTATTTAAAAAAACAAAAAACTATTAGAAGTTAAAAAAAAAATCTGATTAAATGGTCCATAAATGAAATGATAGTAATTCAATCCCCCCGACCCCCACATATGCCTTTTCGTCATGTAGGAGCGAGCGTGTCAGGGTTCAGCTTGCTGAGAGCTGGGCCCCACATAGAGATCCTGTTGGTGCCCAGTGCCCGTCCATCTGTTGCAGCGATGCCTTTGCCATGTCCCCATGGTACAGAAGTGTGCCGCTGTTTTCCCCACACACAGAGCTCAGTGCCCCAAACAGCCAGTGACTGGGTGCCCGTGTCCTCTGCTGGTGTAGTTCAGAGTAGGGGCCAAATCAAGCTGGATTCTCTATGTGCTTCCCACAGTAGAATGGAATTGGGCTTTTGGAATTTCTGTGGATTTCAGGTGTGTCTGCTCGCCCTGCTGCTATTTTCCTCGCACTGATTGAGAGCCATTTGGTTTAAAAATATCAAACATGTTTAGCCAATATTTCTAAAAGTCTCTGAAGGTAAGATTATTTGATTTCTGTGATTTGCACGTGAGTAGTAGAAACCTGGTCTTTTCAGAACCACCGCTAGAATGAACTTCTTTTCCCATCAGTGTGGACACGAGACTGCCCCTTCCACCTCTTCCCTGCCCTTTCAGTCACAAATAAATGTAAGATTGGAACTCCAGGAACTTCCGTCCTAGTGGCCTGTGCTTTTCAGATGCCATACTGCCTGTGTTTGAAGCCAGATCTGAACAAGAGTCTGTCTGCTTAGACACAGTTGTCCGTGGGTCTGAATCATCCTCGTGTAAGTCGTGTGTATGTGTGTGTGTATGGGGGTGGGTGAGCAGGGGGACCGGATGGTGCTCTTACCATTCTTGGCTTTTACAAACAGAGTAACTCCCCAACTCCCAAAGTTTTGTGATTCTTTGCCTCAGATCTGACTGCAGGACCCTCTTTTTATATGGACAGAAACCAAGTTGCGCTGCTTTTTTATATTTCCTACCTGTTCATTTTACAGGTTTTGATTTCCTTTAAAATAGACAGTGTCTGCGGTAATTTATTGTTTTTACCTGTAGCCTTGAGTTGTTCTCTTTGTACTCCCCTCCCCCTCCCCCATTTTTCTAAACCTTCGTATCTGTTGAGTGAACCTTTTCATCTGCCTTTAGAATGTCTGGGATATTTCTAGTACTTACTTTTTTGCTGAATCCAAAGATAATATAAATATGTATATTTTATAATGATCAAAATGCTATACAGGAGATACAAGTTTCTTCCTTTAGAAAAAAAACCACACACATACACACACACACAAAACAGCCATTGCATTGTTAATGTCCGTCTTACGATGCCCTTGTCTAAATCATACACCTGGGTGTGAACATCAGTAAAGAGTCTCCTTAGCTTGTTGGTATGGAGTATCTAAGGGGAGCTGGGCTTTATAGGGTAGGGTGTTAAAGGAGAGCATTGGCTTGCTGTCCTAGTAGCTATTTAATCCAAAAGAAGCTTCCATTGCAAAGTAAACAGAATGGAGAAGCCATGAATTTTAGTCACAGGGGAGTCTGATTGGAGGCAAACCCTTAGGGTAGGTGCCATCTCTCCTGCAAGGGCACAGGAGCTGTTTGTTCCTCGGGAGCAGTGTCTTTTCCTGGCTGGCCGCCTCTCTCTCCAGTAGATGGATTTTGAAGCTGGGACTGTCATTCTGAGAGCTATATTTAAATTCTCAGGAACTGACTTGAGATGTTGAGAATGAATTTAGTTTCAATCAAGTTTACATTAAGTGTAATATGGGGCAGGGGAGCGAAGTCACCCTTTCACTGCAAAGACTAAAGCACATGAGGGCTGGCCTATGAGATGGTTGGGTGGCAAGCTGTGACCCCTTTGCTGATCATTTGGGATGTCATTGTAAATAAAGGTTTCTATTTAAAATTGGAACCTATGAGCTTGCTTGCTTGCTTTTTTTAAACTCCCAGCTGGATCAACGATAGAGGACTATTAAGGAAACTCTTTTCAAATACCAATAGCACTTTCTATGAGGTGAATTCCCCCCACCCCTACCCCATGCTGCCGGGCATTTGTTGATCTGGGGTCATTGAAAATCATGGGAGCATTTTAAAATGTGGGTGTACTGCCACCAACTGACAAATGAACGTGTTGGACTAGGTAGGGGACAGCTGACAGCCAAGTCACACCGACTGGGGGTGGGTTCCGCAGATCATTAATACATTTCGTGATGTACGGTCAGTTTTCTTTAGAAATATGTAAATATTAGTTAAGCCCTGGTTGCACTGTGGACTAGGCACTGGGCTGCTAGCCAGAGGGTCAGCAATGCAAACCCACCAGCTGCTCCTTACAAGAAGGGTGAGGCTGTGTGCTTCCCTAAAGATGTACAGCCTCGGAGACGATCTGGGGTCACTGTGAGTCACCATCGGCTTTATGGCATTGGTGTTTTGGGTTTGGCTTCTTTTTTTAAGGAGTCCCTCGGAAGTGCAAATGAGTACGCATTCGCTGTTAATTGACAGGTTGGTGGTTTGAGTCCACCTAGAGAGACTTGAGCTCTGATAGCGTAGTGGTTACGAATCGGGCTGCGAACCGCAAAGTCAGCAGTTCAAAACTACCAGCTGTTCTATGGGAGAAAGATGAGGCTTTTCTGCTCCAGTAAAGATTTACAGCCTCGGAAACCCTGTACAGGGTCGCTATGAGTCGGAACCGACTCCACGACACAGAACAACAACAGAGAGACTTGAGAGAAAGGCCTGGTGATCTGCTTGTGAAAACGCGGTGGGGTTTGGGGGTACACAATTCTGCTCTGAAACACGTGGGGTCATCTGAGTCTGAACTGACTCTGGCAACTGCTGAGGGGGGGGGCCCATCATTTTATTACTCCTCTCTGAGACCCTCTAAATCCAAAGCATCTCTTTTCAAAAAGGTGTGTGCTGGCGGGATCATGGGTGGGGCTTTTCCTAAAACACGACACAAGACAGCTCCCAGAATGGCCCTTTACAAAGCGTCAAAGGTGCTCCTAATTACCAATAGCAGGTCACTGGCAGGGGCTTTGAACATTGTATGACAACACTTAACACGACAAAATGTCTTTACAAATACAGTTTCATTAAAACTTGTGACATACATCATTTCCTTTCAGTACCTTAAAAAAACATCAGTTCTGGGACAGATCACCAAGGGCCACTTAGAGGAGCGGTGTCTGGTCAGGAACACACACGTTCTACAGCTGTGAGGAGTTCTTTACACTGGCCACAGAGCATTTATTGACATCAGCACTCTAGAAAGTTGGGTTTTCTCCTTAACTAAGATTCCCCATTGAAATGGTCACACATATGTACAGTGAAGTCCGTTTTCCTTGGCAGAGACCAGGTTCTAGTGCTGGGTCAACAGTCCTGCCTCTTGTGCTATGGGCTCCTCCCCCACACCTTCCTACTGTCTGCTGCACCTGCAACTTGTCTCTTTCCTCTTGCTTAGTTCCCACGTGGGACGAGCCAGGAGAATCAGAGGATTTACAACAGGATTGTTGTGCCCCTATGATTGAGGGGAAAAAAAAAAATCCAGTGACTTTCACCCTTGAGGGAAATTTCCAAGAAATGATTTCTTCTCAGTTCCTTTCCTCTGGGAGTCTCCCAGAGAGGTTTCGTGTTAGTGGTGACTTTATGATGTGAAAATGCATTTCGTGTAGCTGGTGAGGTATAACCCAAAGCAAAAGCAGGTGCAAAAACGGACTTCCCGAAGTGTCACGAGGCCCGCCGCTTCTCCTCTAGAACGCCGTGCTGACGGACAGCGAGGTCTGTGTGTGTCTCCGGCCTCCTGGCTAGCAGCGTGGGTCTGCCTGACATCACACCGTTCTCATGCCGGGGCAGCACACACCGCTGTCCAGTCGTGATGCCCCTCTGGGTTTGGAGGGCCATCTCGGGGCTCCTTAGCCTTCCCAGCCTTCCCACAGCTGTCCCCTGTAGGACAAAGCACGCTGGCATTAGTTCTTGACCTTTGCTGACCGATTTCTTACCCCACGACCCCACTGACTTTGCTTCAAAAGGATGTGGTTGCTGAGAAGGTGGTTCTGGGTTCCTCAGGGAAGGACCACCTAGTTCTCAAGCCTGCCAAATGCTATAGCTGGCCAGCTGGGCATTTGAGGATCTGGACAGAATGGTGGGAGAATGTGAACTGGGGATGAAGCTACCGGGGAGTGCGGTACTTCTGTAGGCTGGACACTGCACTGCTGACCACAGGATCAACTGCTCTGCTCCATGGGAGAAAGATGACTCCGCCTGCTCCTGCTGAAATTCACAGCCCCAGAAACTATACAAGGTAGCTGTGAGTCGGAACTGACTCGACAACCTAACAGTAACCTTAATGAAAGCCATAGAGGTTTGTGTGCACATATAGGAAGACATGTAGTCCGAGCTTACAAACGGCAGTTCTCTGAGGGTGTCTGCTTGCTTGGTAGCTTCACGTCAAAGCAGTTGCCAATATTAGCTTTTAGCATAGGTGTGAGTTTCTGCATTCATCTTGGTGAGTTAGAAGATTTGGCAGACCACATCTCAATCCTGCATGGAGTATACTAACTCGTGGACTTCTTGGTGGTCACTCAACTTCATGCCCCCCACCCCCTACTGCCACTGATGCAAGGAGTCTTCTGTGTGGAATTCTGGGAGGACAGTTTAATGAGGCCCCCCTGCTGCTGACATTAGGGGCCAGTTAGCGATGCTGTTTGCAGCTATGGCCTTCACGATGCTGGGCAGCTACACTAATTAAAATGCTCTCAGTCTCAAAGCGATAGCTGGGAATTTACGGAGCCCAGGGCCTGAGACAAGGTATTAAAGTACGGCCTGAAATGGGCTCCTGTGGCATGTTATCTTCCAGAAAGGACATTCCTGAGTTCTTGCTGGTCATGGGAGTGGACAGGGTGCCTAGGGGCAGTGGCATGCGCACAGAAAAGCTGCGCCAAGAGGAGCGAGCCTGAACCAGTTGAACGGGATCCACAACTCACAGTGACTTGGAGGCAGGTCTCTTCATCTCTGGCCACTTGCGACGCTGGAACTGCCTAGGTTTTTAGGTGTCAAAGGAGATTGTGTGTTAACCATCACCAAGATGTCTTCTCAGAGAACCATGCATACAAGGCCTCCCTAGTGACACCCTTCACCAACAGGTGACCTAGGTCCATGGCTGACCAGATAAGGGACAGTCTCCACAGAACCACCCATGCCCCCACAGAGGGCAGATCAAAAGGTGCGTGCTTTCCTCAGGCTGTAAGAACAAGATTGAACACCTACCTGTATTGTTCATAGCTTCCTCCATCTTTCAGTCCTGAATGAGGGAGCAATGAATGAAATAGGAACAAATCATTTAAGGCAAAGATGGTATAAACAATGTACCCTCCTTCCCCTCTGAAACACAGAATTGTGGCTAAAAGTCAGTCTAACATTGCCAGTGTTCCTGAGGTGGAGTGGATTGAGTTCTGAGGGGACCCTGCCCTGAGACTTCTAGGCTGCTTTGTAGGTGGCCTACAGTCTAGTGTCTTCACATCCGTCTTAGGAGTCTGATGTGTTTGTTCCCACTGGTGCTGGTCATGGTGGGATGGGGAGGTGTGAACATGGGCCTAAAGGTCAGGCGGTGGGCATGTTCCCGTGCCTGGCCTCTCTGGAAGCTTCCAGAGGATACGACAGAGGGTGAAATGCACAGGCTTGGAAGCCGGCAGACCAGGTTCACTTTACTCGTCCCCAGAGGGTTGTCCTAAAGATTACGCATAGGAACAGGTCACAGTGCCTGGGCACAGGGGGTGGCCAGCATACTTATGTACTCAGTGGGTTTTAGGATGAGTTTTAGGAAGGCAATGTACCAGGAACACCAGTGAGCATGCCGGTCCTCTCGGGCCAGCAGGCCCTCCCCTCCTGTTGGCCAAGGCTGACTGGCATCTGTGTTCTCCTCCTCAGCAGCTCAGCCATCTTCCTGATGCACACTTGAGGGGTCTTACAGGTCCCAGGTGAAACTGAAGTGTGCGGGCCATTCTGCCTGCAGTTTGTCGGAGCTAAAGGAACAATTACCTTCATTTTGTTCACCGTTTTGGTGTCTTCAATGGAGATACAGGGTTTGTGATTGTGCCCTGTCCCGATAAAACCGGAGTTGATTGGGACTGATGGCTTTCTCACGATTTCACTGTGTTCTGTGGCCTCCTGAATGAAATTGCAAGTCCTCCACTGCTCCACCCCAGTCCTGGGCACGGTGGGGGAGGTGGACACTACGGTGTGCTGTCAAGTCAATTCTGACTTGTAGTGGAGCGGTGCTGCCTCAGGGACAGGAGCATGGCCAGGTCTTCTGTGGAGCCTGTGATACGTGTGAACTGCTGACCTTTTTGGTTGGCAACCACATACTTTGGTAAGGCAATGGTTAAGTATGTGGCTTCTTACTAGAGTGAGAGTTCTTTTCACAAGTAGATGGTTCACAAGTAGATGGTTCCGTTCCGCAGGTTAAACCTTGCACTGGTTTCTTGTGTACCCAAAATGAGCTCTGAATTCACATGTGGCCCACCAGGTCCCTGACTCTCCGTTAACCTCACTGGGTTCTTGCTCCTCTTCCAACACAAGTCAGCTCTTCCAGAATGCCAGACCTCCAGGTTTCACTTCCTAGAGGAAGTGACATCCCTGACTCCTCCTCTATTGAACTGTGGCCCCTTCACTCAAGCTGAAGGACACCTTCCTGTTTACTCCATACAAGGCCCCAGAAGAATGTGAGCCCACAGGAGCTGGGTGGGTGGAGTCCACTCCATGCCTCTGCAGAAGCAACATGGTGCCAGGTTGAACTTACTCTGTTAAATTAGTTAAGTGGACCTCTCGGGAGCTCAGCAGAAGCCCCTGGACTGCCTGATGTGGGCAGGGTTACCCAGACCGCCACAGGACTGATCTCTCACTGTATCACCAACTCCCTTTGGGATACACCATGACCTCCAACCCCTTCCACATGGGGGTGCCAACTCACCCAGGTCCATGTTTCGGGTCCGGGGGTTACACTGCTTGTAACCTTCACAACTCCTCAGCTCCATGAGCTGAACATGCAGCTGGTTGAGCACTTCTCTGTCAAGCGTGTTCACCGCGTTCATCAGCTGGTGGGAGAACGGGTTGTCTATAGGTAAGCACAGGGCTTTCCATCCTCCTACCACCCAGGGGACTTGTTTCAGGTGCTCAGCTCTACCCCAGCCTCCACTTCGGCAGTTCAGACTAGCCTCACCACGGGGTCCCCTCTCTCATTGAGAAAGAACCACCTCTGTGCTTAGCTTTCAACTCCCCGCATCTCTAAGCAGTTTCCTCACATACGGTCCCTCTGCTCCTGGAAGCAGCTGCCTTCTGCTTTAACACATGTGAAAAAAATGGACTTCACAGTCTTCTCTCAAAACCGTAACACAACCAAGGCCACGCTCCTGAGAAGCACCAGTGTTGCTTGGTAACGACCTTTAGGACAGATGTTCACTCACTGATCTGTTTAGGTGACAATTTTAGGGGCGTGCTGGGGCAGGGTGAGCGAGCTGCGCCCTGGCTGTGTGGGCCCCGCAGGCCCTGGGTGGGCAGAGCAGTATTTGGCACGAAGGACGCTGCGGCCCTCCATCACACGTCTGAGTCCAAGCACAGCCGGGTTGAACACTGGTGTCTGCAGAGTGGCGGCATATACCACCCAGTGGCTTCCCACCTCAGAAACATCACCTCCTCAGGAGCCTAACTGGCACTCTCGTGTCCCCAACCCCCATTTCTCCCCCTTATGTTGTCCCTACCTGGTAGGGATCTGTGTTGAGATCAAAGTACTCTAGAAAGCCGGTGGCAAATTCACAAAAGAGGAAATTGTGGGTCTCGTTGATCGTCCGCATGCACCAGTACGTGTTGTTGTTGGCGCTGGTGCAAGCGCAGAAGGGCCCCACTGCATGTAAGGGAGAGAGAGATGCCCCACATATGCTCAGTCTCCCAACAGCCCTCTTCACCCAAACTTCAGATGCCAAGTAACCCCTGATGCAGGGGCCTGATTCCCAAAGGCCCGCAGGGCTTGGCAGGGAGCATGCGCAAGGGGCGGGGCGATCCTGGCCCTAGGTCTCAGGGAGAAGCCCGCCCCCTGCCCGTGCCCGCCGGCTCACGGGTCCAGAGGGGCGCCGTCTGCCAGTGCTGGTTGTCGTGGGTGAAGCACGTGAGGCCCGGCATGCTGCACGTATCGTTGTTCTGCAGCCGCCTGAGCAGCTTGCGGAGTTTCTTCTTGCGTTTCTGCTCCCGCAGCAGCCACGCCTTATCCTTCTCCTGCAGACCCTTCCTACAGGCACACAGCAGCGGCTCAGCACCCCTCAGAGCCGCCCCGTACACGCCGCGGGCTCAGAAAGAGCTATGCGCTGGATTACTAACCGAACCCACTGGGAAATAGGCCTGGAAATGTGCTTCAGAAAGGGCGCTGCCTGGAAAACCCCATGGAGTGGGTCAACTTTGCACGTGTGAGGTCGCCCTGGGCCTGAATTGACTCGAGGGCCACAGCAGAAAGCTGCTCCTGTCTCCCAGTCACCAACAATAGAGGGTGTCAGCGCCCATCTTCCACCCTCAAGGACCCTGCTTCAGCTCCCAGGCTTCAAAGGGCTCCCCGCCCGACGCCCTAGGCACTGCCCGGGCCTAGCAAGGCTGGCTGCAGTAACCCACTTTGGCCACGAGAGGGCGTGCGGAGACCAACGTTAAAGTGGGAGGGAGCCCTTCAGGGATTGCCAGACTTTTCTTCCCCTTGTTCTCTCAGGGAGAGCAGCCTTCTCATGAAGGCCTCTGTCCTGATCCTTCGTGGCTGGGGTTCACCTGCCCTTACCTGAAAGGATGCAGATTAGAGCCTTTGTGCTTGAGGCGGCCTTTGTGCTGCTGGGTGTGGTAACTGAAACAGATCCCAACCCAGGGGGGAGGAGAGGGGGTCAGAACAGTTCTCAGATCCCTGTTGCCCCAGCCCTCCCTGTCTCTCGGGTTCCTTCAAGCCCGAGCTGAAGCCCTCAGTACACACGTGAGAAGGTGCAATCTAGGGAGGCTAGAAGTGGGGCCTGGCTGCAGAGACCTCAGCTGCCTGGGGTTGCCCCCCACCCCATCCTCAGAGCTTGGTCAGGGCCTAGCACAATGAACCCTTCTTTTGCACATCCTTTCAAGAAAAGTGCTCTCCAATACATCAACACTCGCCACGTGGGCTACTGAAATAAAATGAAAGCTGCAGTCCCTCAGTTACACTGACCGCCACTGTTCAGTGGACACTTCATTAAGTTCGATTCCCAGGGCTGCTCTGGGGCGGGGTCCATTCACCAGGGGAAAGGTGGACCTGAGCCCACTCCCATGTGAAGAGCCTGTCCCATTAGCAGTGCGTGAATGTGGGCATCTGGCCGGTGACGTGGGGTTTTACTGTTGTGCCCATGAGGTGAACAGTGGGGAGGAGAATTGATTAAAAAAAAATTTTTTTTTTAATCCTGAGGGGACCTGAGCCACTCAGGTAGGGCCTGGGCTGCCTCCTCACCTGATTTTGGGGCAGTCACATTCTTCTGGCCGCTTTTTCTTCAGGTGACCTCGGACCTCCCTCAAGTTCTTAATTTTGTTCTGCAGAGTTTCAATCTGAGGAAGGAAGCAGACAAGGCCCTGAAACTCAGGTGGGGTGGGAGAGGAGGGCTGGTGTGCCCCGATGGGCCTGGACACCCCCGTGAGCCCTGTGCCCCACCTGCAATAGGGCCCTTCCCAGGGGTGAGGGGGGGGCCTGAGCTCGCGGGGGCTGAGAGAGTTCACCTCATGGTCGATGTGCAGCTTGTGGTCTTTCCAGGCCTGTAGGGACTTATAGAGGGCCAGGTCACATTGAACGGTGTCATTCTCTAGGATGTAGCACCTGCTCGAGAGAAGGGATCATGTGTGGTCCTGGGGGACCAAGAGGGTCCCCCTGCACCCCGTCTCTGTGTGGGCTCTCACCGGTGTGTGACTTTAATGGGGTTGGGGGCCGAGTAGTCTGGAAGGTCTCCAGTACCGCTGAAGTCGCCACCATCTTTGTCCTCTTGGTCTTCAGGGGCCCCAGGCCAGTGCCGCTTGGTAAGGTTTCGGGGCTGGGATGTGTCCTCCAGGCCCACGTGATACACCTCGCCATCCAGTTCAATGGCTACTGAACGGATGGAGCGGTTACGGGCATAGCTGGCCTTGTATTCTGTGGGCGTCAGAGGGTGGTGGCTGGGGTTAGGAAGGTAGGCAAGGGCTGGCCAGGCTCCTTGCCCTTTAATCGTAAGGTTTGAGAGCCAATGAGATCCATCTACCCACGAAGCCCAATCTGGACCCCAGTGAGGCTAAACTGGGGAAACTTAAGTCTTAGAGCTAAGAAAGGAAAGAATGAAATCATTTCAAGTAAGAGCTATGTGGTGTATCCATACATATGTATCTTCCAGTTTCATAGTCCTCGTCACTTTTTACAACAAACAAACTCTTCCACTCACTCTAGTCTGATTGGCCAGCCTGCCCCAGGGTCCATTTTTTTGTTTCGAGAAGGGCCCACAGTCAGTTATGGGTTTCTGCTGGGCCACAAATAACCACTAGATGGCAGCTTAGACCTTAGACTGGCAGAAGGCAGGCGCTAGTGGGGAGATGGGAGGCAGGAACCCCTTTTATCTCGCGGCTCCAGGCTTCTTGGTGCCCTAATCATAGGGCAGATTTTATGGTTTCACATTCCTTCTATGAGAGGAAGGCCTGGGGTCTGCCCTCTAGCCTTGGACCTTTTTGGGTGAGGGGCAGCTCTCTCCGGGGTTTCAACACCGATAAACACCAGGCGGCTGCAGCAAATCTCCATTTGGGGGGCGGGGGGGCTGGGGTGGTGGCAGAAAAGACACGGGCATGCTCTTTTGGCTCCTTTTGTCTCACCTGCTTGAGGCAGCTGCCTGGTCTGGGTCCAAAAAGTCCAACCTAAGGGCCCAATCGGGGCCCCACCTGTTTCTGTAAGTAAGGTGTGACTAGAACTCACCCCTACCCATTTATGTTCTCATTGCTTAACGGGTTAGAGTCTCAGCTGCTAACCAAAAGGCCAGTGGTTCAAACCCACCCAGAGGCTCTTCGGTAGAAAGGCCTGATGATCTCTCATAACGATTACAGCTTAGGAAGCCCTATGGGGGCAGTCTATGTTACTGAGGTCACTAAAAGTTGACTTAGAATCCTGGGCACTCAACAGCAATATCTATTTTCTCACTACTGGGGCAGAGATAAATGGTGGCATCAGAAAACGTTTGCCCCAGGCCTGCATAAGCCCTTTATTGAAGCCCACCACTGCCACTCCTTGCAGGGCTGTGTCATGGCTTTGCTGTCACATGGTTGAGCGGAGTCTCCTACTATTTATGTGCAATTCTGCATTCCTCTAAGCGGTATTAGGGGACAAAAAAAGCTTAATTGAGTCTCAACTTCTTTTCTTAGTCAAGGATTACCAACCATGCCATGTATCAAAGCAAGGAGATGGTAGCTGTGTAATTCAATCTGAGAACCGATAATTGTATTCAGCTACAAAAAATTAGCTTCGTAGCTACTAATCAGCTTACGAGGAAGGACAATGAGGGAAAATCAATGCAAAAGTATTGTTTGCGGTGGGAGACAAACCAACATGGCGAGCCCCATTAACGTCCAAAGGAACGCATCCTGGGCCGTGGCTGGAGAGGATACTCCCAAACTTGCCCCTTGACATCAAGATGTCTAACTAGCCTTGACTGTCCTGGGGTCAGGCTCCCTGGATGATGCAGATAGTTTGTGCTTGCTTGTCTACTAAGCTAAGGGTTGGCAGTTTGAACCTACCCCTGTGGTGTCACAGAACAAAGACCTGGAGATCTGCTTCCATAAAGGTCACAGCCTAGAACACTGTGGAGCAGTTCCATCCTGTCCCGTGGGGTTGCTGTGAGTTGGCACTGACTTACTGGCCATGGGTTTGGTTGTTTTGTTTGGTCCTGGGATCAGAGGGCCAGAGAAACAGGAAGTGTGGGACAGTACCCAGCTGCCCAGGCCTCACCAAGATCAAGTCCTTGTGCCTGGGACCCCCCAGTTCTGCCATTATCCTTGTCCGCCCTTCACTCTCACCCTTGACCCATCTATAGTTCCTGGCACTGACCCCCCCCCCCCCAATCCTGATCCAGTCTCTACCAAGGTGACTTGATTAAAAGAAAAAAGTATAAACCAGATTAAATAATTGTTTACAGCCTTCTAGCAGCTTCCTAAAGCTCAAACACTTCCTCTGCCCTGGTGGTGATATGCCATGGTGTTGGTTCTGACTCATAATGACCCTGCATAGCGTTTCCGAGGCAGTAAATCTTTACAGGAGCAGAAAACTCATCTTTCTCCCACGTAACAGCTGGTAGTTTCGAACTGCTGACATTGAGGCTAGCAGTCCGACTCGTAACCACTATGCTACCAGAGCTCGTTTCCCTGACCTGATGGCCGGGAGCTCGCCTCAAATCTGAGCCTATCTTTTGGCTCCTGTAGATTGCTTCTTTCATCTTCCATGATGCTACCCTGGGTCTTATCAGCCTCTTTGTCTCTTACTTTGCTCTTCCCCCTAGAATGGACAGGGCGGGTGGGTGTTGCCTGTATCCCCAGGATGTTCTAGAACAATCTCTAGCACTGGTAATAGGTGTTGGTGGCTTGTCCAGATGAACCAGCCGGCTTTTCTGTCTCTCTCCTCCCACCCGCCTCACTTACTTTTCTTGAAGAACTTTCTCCGGCGCCCGGCCAGGCTGAGCTTGTAGTCCACACGGTCACAGGCACAGGTCTCGCCATCCCGCCCGTAGTCCTTGGGCACCAGGTTGGAGAGGGCTCTGCTGCCACTCGGCCGCACCGGGCTCTTGCACTTGTGCAACTTCAGCTTCCCCGTGGCGTCCTCTACACACTGCCACTTCTGCAAGACACACCACGCTCCAGACTCCAGGCTCCAGGGTCTGCCCCACAGCCTAGCTGCCCAAGGCAGGCCCCGGGGTCTCCCTGTCTACGGACCTGATGTTACCCAGTCCTTGTTGTTATACGTGCTGTTGACTCATAGCAACCCTGAATAGGGTTTTCAAGGTGAGTTCGAACCACCGACTTTGAGGTTCAAACCAACCTTGCAGCCCAGTGCTCATCCCACAGCGCCACACCATTACTCCAGTCCTACGCCCTCCTGCTGCTTTCCTACCTGGTCAGACACACTAACTATCCCCTCTCAACCCATACTTCACCTGTTTCCGTCTCATCCCCAAATCCATTCTGTCAAGTCCACCCCATGCACAGCGGGATGAACTGGCCATCCCAGCGATGGGATGCATATCACACCAATTAGATCCATGAGGTTTTTTTGTTTTTTTTTTTTTTTGCTTTTTGAAAATCACTTCATTTCGTTCTTGATGAACTTTACAGAGTAAAACCCACTCCCACCCCACGGTTTCTGGACATTATGGTCCCTGACACTGGTTATATGCTTCCCCCTGGCCCTCCCCGCTGCCACCAACCTTCTCATGTAGGTTTTAAAATTACTGTTGGCATCTTTGAAATCAATTCAAGGTCTGAAAGGCACTTAGGCCCACAGTCTCAGGAACTTCTCCAGACTCAGCAGCTCCAGTAAGTCTGGATTCTGTGAGAATTTGAAGTTTGTTCCACATATTCTTTTCCCCCTTTTTCAGGATTCATCTGTTGTATCCTGACTATAGGATTCACAGAAGTAGATTGCCAGGACGTTCTTCCTACACTGCCTCTCTCTGAGACTTCTGCAGAAACCTGTTCTGCATCATGACACCATCAAGTCACTTCCAACTCAGCAATTCTGTACATGGTTTCTGAGGAGTGGTTGGTGGGCTGGAATCACTGATCTTGTGGTTAGCAGTCCACTGCTTATCCTAGATTCCATTCAGCATCATGTTTTTGTTGTTAAGTGATGTCGAGTGGATTCCAATGCATAGAGATGCTATATACGGTTTCCAAAGAGTGGTTGGAAACCACTTGTGGTTAGCAGTCTAGTGCTTATCCTACAGTGGCACAACAGGTCTTAACTTTGTTGTTAAGTACTGCTGAGCTGGTTTTGACTCACAGTGACCCTGTATAGGGTTTCCAAGGAGCGACTGGTAGGTCTGAACTGCTGATCTTGAGGTTGGCAGTCCAATACTTAACTTGCAGCACCACACCAGGACTCCAGGTCCTCACTGTTGTTAGGTGCCATAGAGTCATTACCAACCAACTCACAACAGAATGAAACACTGCCTGGTCCTGGGTCAACCTCAAAATTGTTGCCAAGCTTGAGCCCACTGATGCTGCCACTTTGCCAATCCATCTCGCTGG